GGATGATGAATTCCCTCAATCAGGTCTTTGCAAGAAAAAGATGCCCGACGAGTGGTGATGGAGCACGACGGTTCTGATTCGGGAGAGAAAAGGCAAGCCCGCAGATTCTCAGACCATCGCCGAATTAGCTCACTCTCCCGAAGCATGGAAATTTTCGACGATGGTCTGAGCAAGCAGCAAACTGTTGATGATCGCATTCGTGATATTGTCCAGGTCTCTACCAACGAATGTAACTCCGTCTGTAACACCATCGACGACATCCTACACGCCTCTTGTTGGAGAAACAGCGTGAGAAGCAGACCATGATCATCTAGCCTCTTTGACTCGAAAAAGACATTCGATTGTGTCCTGCGAGAAGTTACATGGTACGCCTTCCGACAGCACCTCATTCTCGAAGAGCCGATTCAGTGGCACTAGTATTCCGGCCAAACGAGTCGCGTGCGAACATCAGCAGGCTTCGATGAAAGACCCCATCAGAATCAGGGTGCTCCAAGGTTCTGCACCTTCCTCGCTTCTCTTCGTTGTTGTTGAATTGCCATTTCCACAGGACGCCCAAAGACGCCCTTTGACGATTGTAAGTGCTCGCCGTGAGTATGAAAATGATTCTGAGGACAGATGTGAGCTCAGGACTAAGAGGGCTGCGCGAACTTTAGATCTCAGACAGCAAGCGAAAGGAAATCGATGCCCTTGACGCCTCTGACAACGGCGATTTCATAATTCGCGGTACCCTTAATGGTCAGTATAATGAGCTAATGCGTGCAACAATGTCCAAGTATCTCGGACTAACAACAACGTCTGATGGCTGGCTGGACTGGAAGTGAGTTCGCGTGTGAGTGAAGCCCGGTCCGAATGGCGCTTTATCTAATAGTTATGAGGAAATCCAAGTTCTCGAAAGGGGCACTAATTGCACGCAAACCTTGCATGAGGTCAAAGAAAGTTATTTCCGTCACCAATAAGAACTTATCTCTTGAGAAGAACCCTGAAGGAAAAAAAGCCATTCACCCTTCGGTTGCGGGAAAAAACAGCTGATCCGATCGTGATTGATTGCTGATCGGTGCGCCATTTCGGGCGTGCCGTTGGGAGTATGGATGAACATTCTCTGAGACCCTTACTGAGATCCTTAGAAACTGATTTTTGCAGGAGAAGATGCCATCCGAAGCTTGCTCAGGGAAACGGTATTCTTTTGATCTGCGTGTTCATTTCATACGCCTGAAGGATTTATCGTGACCCCTGCCCCAGGGTTGAATGATCGGCAGTCAACCGTGGGCAGAAGTCATCGTCGTCTCCTCATGTTTTTGATTTTGTTTTTCTGTTATGATAGCTGCTGGTCAACGCTGCAGTTTGCGCTCCAAAGGTTACTACGAGATTACTGAGTTAGAGCCTGCCATGAGACCCAACTGGAAGGGTAACAAGCCTCCTCCACGGCTTGGCCGACTGAGCACGTTCCAGCTGTCTGTGACACGGAGCGCGGAATGCTTGTGGTTGTGTACACTGTTTTTTGTGCCCATTGGAAAGATTCTGTAGAAGAAGCATGGAAGGATGGTAGAAAGTTGGGAGTCGAGAGCTAGATCTCTCGCGTAAAGCATGCATACAAGATTTACAAGAATTCTTATGGTTAGAGAAAAAAAAAGTCGTCTCCAGAGGTAAAGAAAGGGAGCTGCAGGGAACTGCCTCTGAAAGAGACTGCTTCGCAGTCTAGTCCAATCCCTCCGAATGGTGGCCCAGCATGTTTCAAATTCATTCAAAAAAAGTTCGCGCCAAAAGACTGTATTTACTCAAGAGAAGTACGTCGGCATCCAGCTAATTAATGGTATCGAGCACATTTGCTTACCACCTTTGATGGGTTATGGGATGCTTCAGTAAACAAAACCGATGACACTGAATACGGTTGCCAGGAAAAAAAGCAAATACCGCGAATTGCCATCGAACACCTGCAGTAATGTACACTTTGTTCGCAGCATCGAAAAATCTGATCGGCAGCCTTCGTCGGTTCGGCGATCTCGGGGGTCACCTATGCGGATGGGGGTGTAGCATTGGAGGTGAAATTAACTGGGAACGCACATACTGGCATCGAAATGGGGTTCTATCTGAGGTGTTGGCATTTTTTTTCTGCTTCTATGCAGTCGAGTTAGTCAGCACCTTGTTGTCGTTATGCAAACTCTTAATACACTATCTGTGATGACGAATGGAGCTTTGCTTTCAGGCAAGCACATGTCACCGCCTGATGATGGGCGATCTGATTGCTGATTCAACCCTACTGTGTTTTAGTCTTCTCTACCGTGGGCGTGTGGACGGGCTCGCCTAATTGAAGAGAAAGGCTTCTGTTTTATGCAAATCTTTACCAACACAAAACTAGCTGTTTTCAATGGCTGCCATGCATACTGACGTGAAGCTAGAAATAAACCCTCTTGCACGTCGCAGATAGGAATGAGTAACTTGAACATGTGTCGACCTTTATGATTCTGTTGAACACCTATTGAAAAAAGACATTGTGCTGATAAGCCACTTTCCCTATAACAGTCGCGGAGATATAAAAGGAAAAGCAAATTGAAAAAAAAAACAAAAATATGGACGATGTGGCAGTCCAGTCATTAGTATCGCTTCGGAGTGATTGCATGAGCATACATTCTTAATTGCGTGTGGCTTGGTAATTATGCAAGAGCAGCCATGAGATCTCTCATTTCCGCTATATGGCGCAGCAAGCGATCACTTTTTAGTTGCTGAACCCATCCTCATCAGGCATCTACCCGGCCATCTTTCTCTTCCCTCATTATATCCGTATGAAGCATAAAACAGCTCATACGATGATGGGAATCTTTAAATACCACAGAAAGCCAAAAAATCTTCGCTGGTTGCTACGCCCTTGGCGATCCGATACGTGGATAGATGCAAAACTATACGACATACAGTCCTCATCATTGCGGACCGGTGGGGCGTGGCAGTGCGGCTGCTTTGGTGCGGTTTGGTATTAGGTTGTCCGGAAAGTTCTCAGCGTTTTGGGTGTTTCACTAGTTTTGGTGTTTACTTACACAATCGTAACTTTTTTAATACTCATCGGATTCAAACGAAATAGGCACCATTCGAATCAGCACACTTTTGCCAATGTGATAGCAGTCGAGAAATCCCATAAAAGGAAAAACTGGGTGGTCGAGAATCCACGAAATCTACGAAGGTCTTTTTTGCCTGGTCCTAATTGATGAAGTATTTTTCAGCAAGGAAGTTCTGAAAATGTTTGAAAAGGTGATAGTCGGTTGGTGAAAGGTCTGGAGAATATGGTGGTGAGGTAGAACTTCAACTCCCAATTCGTTCAATTTATGGATAGTGATTTGTGAAACGTGTGGGCGGGCGTTGTCATGCAAAAGAATCGGACCCTTTCTTTTGATAAGTGTTGGCTGCAGCTGACAATATTTTCGGTACATTTGTTAATTCCTTCACAGTAGGGTTCCACTGTGTT